TTCATGTCCAAATCACAATTCCTATGAACAAGGAGGGGAATCTTTACATTTGTGAATAAGTTTGAAGCTTTAAAAATCAATCAGAGGGGACCTGATGAAGGCCGTCATGAGACAATATTATTTGTGCTACAGTTAATTAAAATTTCTCTGGCCTCACAAACTGCCATTTTATCACCTCCAAAGTCAGTGAGAGGAACTGTCATGATTGTGAGCTTGGTTGTCAGTGTTTCTACCTTGTCAACATACTTTCATTGAAAAGTTTCTCTTTTTTATAAATCATGTAACTGAATGTCAGACAATTGGTAATATGTGGCATTGAAATTTATTAAAAGGATGATCCTCATTAAAAAAAAACTCAAAGAGCATGAAGATAATCCAACAATGTATAATTGTAAGTAGAATAAAGTTCACTCCAATTTGATTAAAATAGTGAATACTTTAGTTTGTCCAGAATTAATCTAAACCAATGCTTTCAAAGTTGAATACATTACATGCAGCTTGTTCGCATTGCTAAAATTGTATGGTAAAGAAACACAGGTGAATTAAAGTCTGAAATCCTACAAATGTTCTAGTTGCCAGTACTGCCTGACCATGCTGTGATGTGAGTCATGTGACTCAGCAGGGAGTAGCGGTGAGGTTTCTATAATACTGCAATGAATAGGGAAGGGAGATGGCAGAGTAGCATGCAGGCCAGTCAGTACCCATTTTAAAAAATATCATACAGAGGTAGAACTTGCTTAAGTAACCTGTGTAATATTGGTGCTGTTCGGTGCTGTCTGACAACAAAGCACCAGAGTTGCATTCTCGAATGATCCAGCTTGATTTTAATCCTGTGAGAAGAATGGTAGGAAATAAATTTGCATACAGTATCTTGGCATTTAACTTGGGTAGGTAGATATGATTTGACGTACCAATATGACTATTTTTCTTAAATATAACTGCTTATTTTTATATGAAGAATGGCCAGATTGGCCCTGAAGCATGCACTGCTCAGTCTTAGAATTCATAATAAAGAACCAAGATGAAATGGAAATGAAATGTTATGATCGAAACAATTTTACTTGTTGAATTGGAATGTTTACTTGAAGACTTGCAATTTGTTTGAAAATCATACACAAAGCAAGAACATTCATAGGTACTTTAAAGATCTAGCCTTACTGTTAGTACTCATCATCAAACATGACCTAGAGTTTCACAATCAAACTCAATAAACAAATGTCTTCTATCCATCTTATATCACTAAAATCTGAATTGGATCCAAACTTAGATGTGTGCAGTGGAGTTGATGCAAATGGACTTCACTCTCTCCTTACTCGTCAAAATAATTTATCCTGTGAGATGGGGGCAGGAGACTTTATAAATCATTTAAATAAACAATTTAAAAAATTAAGATCAAGAAATCAAGACAAGGGTTGACTTATGTAATGACAAATTAATTATGGAAAATTTTGCATAAATGAGCTTTCTAACAGCAGGCCACACATTTTATTGTCAGGGCTATTTGCCAAGGCAGTTCCAATTATTTGTATTATTAACATGGGCTACGCAAATTAGCCATAGATGAATAGCTTACAGAAGCACAAAGAGTCAGACATGAGTTTGAAAAGTCAATTTTCATCATTTTTTTATATGCATGAAAAAATCTTCAGAACTAATATATGTATGAAGGGAAAGTTACACGTTTTCTCACTGATGTCTCTGCAAAATTTTAGCACAAGCTTAAGGGTTCATTGTATTTTTTCTGGATGAGCAACATGAAAGGTTTTATTATAATTTCTCAGAGGATATTAAGATCCCACTAGGCTTTTCTTTTGATAAGAAGCCTGTCACCATACAAGGTGCAATGCCAGTCAGGAGTAAAAGAAAACACAATCCTTGATGAAACTCTACAACATCTCAATAAGAGGAGTAATATGAGTTGAGTGGTAACCCCTTCTTTCAGGGGTGGGATTCTACCAGTCCGGATCGATTCTATAGAACCAGTAGTTGCGATTCTGCACAGTTCAGAGAACCAGCAAATCCTGCACCTGGCTGGCTCTGCCCCTCTCCACCCGCCCCACCCATCCTCACCCAGTTAGTCCTTACTGCACGCATGCCCGACATCGCTGACTGCATTGTCCCGCGCCCAGTCACTCCTTAAGGTATTTCTTTCCCCACCTCCCAACGATCAGTTGTTCCTATGATCAGCTGTGCCAGGATCCCCCTTGCTGTCTTACTGCTTTGCCCAGGAGGCTTCCGAGGCCCAGGAGGAAAAAGGGGGCATGGGGAGGGGGACACGGGGAGATGCACCCCCCCCACGCTCCATTTTTTGCCTTCCTGAGCCCCAGGGAAGCTTCCTGGGAGCAAAAATGCCCCCCAGGAGGCTTCCCTGAGACCCAGGAGGCAAAAAAATGGAGGGGAGTGTGCTGCATAAAAGCCAGGCCCACCAGTCACAAGGCCACACCCACCTAACCACACCCCCTTAGCCATATCCACAGAGCCAGTTGTTAAAAAATTTGAATCCCACCCCTGCCTTCCTTCCCAAATCTTATCTTGTTCACATGGAGAATTCCTGTAAAGAAAGGAGGACTGTGGCCTAAATCTCTTCTTTGGAAATCAAGGACAGATTTACAATCAACAATCTTCAGAATTGATAATTCACGTTATTAGATTTTGTTTTTAAGAGACTGGATGGAGACACCCAGTGGTAGTAATTAGAAGAGAATGCACAATTATTCTCATTTTCTCATTTACAGAAGTTCTTTTAAAAAAATAATAATGGGAGAAATAGTGAGAAAAGATGGGAGGATTAAAATGGTGAGTGGAAACTTTCTAATTTCTCAGGAAGTATTGACTGAAAGTATTTGTGTGGAAATATTTTCTTTTTTTCTCTGTCTCTTTTAGCCTCCCAAGTACAAAGAAAAAAAAACTGCTCTAGAAAGGTAAATGGAAAGAGAGGCTGGAAACTCAGGATAAAAGAATCTTGAGCTGTGAGAAATTGGGTGGTATAGAATTACCATATTGGAATGGATGAATGAACAAATAAATGAATATTGCCTTTTTTCCTCACCTCTGGAAATGGCAGCAATTTCAAAAGTTTATCTAACAGAACAGATGTCCAGTATTTAGATGTTCAGTATTTAGCAGTATTAAAATTCAATCCTTGAAGAATTGCATTTACAAAATGATGGACAAATTATTTCCAAAGTAACTTAAAACAATATCAAAATCTTAAAGAAATGCAATTATATCATATAACTATATGTAAATAAACATTAACAGAAGATGATTGATGGTGATAAAGAACTCAAGAAGTTCAAACTTAAGGAATAGTCAGTGGCTTTATAAAAAATCGTAATATAGTTAGTGAAATATTTATGGATTCTGATGAACCATGTATAAAAACCCTGAATAAATTAAATAAGCCATGTTTAGAAGCAATTAAAGTTTTTCATTGCACAAATGTATGAAAACAAATCTGATTAAATCTTTATTAGAGCATAAGGGAACTGGATACGGCCATTAGAAGGTATAAAAGTACGGTCATTAAAAAAGTATAAAGTGTAAAAAGGTATAAACATCATGACTAAAAATAAAAATTTAAATTTAAAAGAGAGAGATTTAAGCAATTATTAAATTCTTTTGTGGAAATAAATGAGATTGAAAATTTAAATTTCTCTGGATTACAAATTAAAATATCAAAAGTTGAAAATATTAGAAGTGGTTTGATAGGAAAATTACCATAATTTTTATATTGCCTGTAATATAATACTAGATTAAAGGAAAGGAATGTAAGCCTTTTTGGCTTTGAGGACTTAGCTTTTCATCTGTAAATTACCATTTAAATTGAACTACTATTTTGTTGATTTTTTTTCCATCTCGATTATTTTATTTTAATTACAAATTTTCAATTATTTCAATTACAATGATTCTATAAGTTGCTCTGGAAAACCTTTGCCATGAAAGTAGAATACAAGTTATATAAAATAGCTAATTATCAAATTATATGTCATTTGGTATTTCTAAAAGTTGGGGTTGCCCTAATCTAACCCTTTATAAACCAATCAGTAAAATTATAAGTGGTTTCTGTGAGTATCAAATGGCTCTGTTTTTTCATAGCCCAAGGACTATTTTATTTCAGTTACATCCCTCTGGAATGAAAGAGATCACTATCCATTACCTAACAATTGAAAAAAATTTCATAAATAGCCAGATTCTAACTATAACCAGGTTCTAAGTCTGGCTTTAATGAAGCAGACTGAAATTTCTCCTCAAAGTAATACCATAAATGCAATTGAAACCTCAATAGGAATGGCTGACATACTTCACCAAGAAAAACTGGGAAAAAGAAAAATGGCTTTATAGCTGGTTTGCAAAGGATTTAAGTGTGCAATTCTTTGATCCTTCATTAAAAAAACTTCAACCACAAATTATTTACAAAATAATACATAGAAATAATACATAGAAAGTAAAATAAGTGCACCCACTTTTTGTGTGAATGCTGGTATGATTGTGCAGAATATTGCAATTTTCATGAAACTTGTCATCAATAGCTCATTTAGAAAGGATAAAATTAGCACTGAGAACATGACTGATTTACACTTAATGCTGCAAGTTAGTTTCCATCCCATTTGAGCCAATTGTAAATGCCGAAGAACAGAATGACCCTTGAGTCGCCTCTGAATGGATAGTTATTAATATAAGCTAAATAGCTGTAGAGCATCTTCTAGTATTTCCTGAAATCCTGCTATGAATAATGAAGATTTAATTGCAAACCTGTATTTTTTCTGTAAGTTAGAAAAATAAAAACATTAATGATGTTAATGTTAAACTTCTAAGAAAGGCCAACATATCTAGAATGATCTTAACGGACAATTATAATATGTTGGCGTTCAATACGTACTATATTAAGATACGTGGATTTATCACTGAACAGTACTTGTCAGTTTAACTTTTTAATAAGTGCCAATAATGTTTTGAAAAGAACACAATATATGTGCTGTGTATTACATAGGACTTACCTCTTTGCTTTCTTCCAGATCTGACTCACTGCTAAACTCCTCTGTATTTAAATTTTCAAAATCTGATTCTCCAACAGCAATGGGTACTGTCACAGTTACACTTGGGTTATTTATGAATGACATATAATCACTTTCATCAATGATGTATTTTTCCACGCTGCTTCCTATGCCGCTGGTAGTCCCATTGCCATCTTTCAGATAGTTAAAATCTTTGCCAATATCTACTATCACATGATTGGAAATGCAACTGTCTTTCTTATTGTTTAGATCTTCAAGGGGCTTGATTTCATCCAAAGCCTTTTGTTTTCTCACAAACGCCTTTTGTACAAATTCATGAGCTTTTCTTTTTATATAATCTATTCCTTTCTGAATCCTAGCCACTGCAATTTGGAGATTGTTCATTTCATTATCATCATCTGTAGCAGCAAGATTGTCTGAACTGAAGGAGCTCAGGAGCAAGGCCAGAAAAAGATTCAAAACCTATTAAAAGAAAAACAGGGTCACTCCGTTTATCATGTTATTGGCCACAAGGTTTGAATATTTTGTGTAAGTGTTGCTTCTTCTTGATTACTTGATTATATCAGACTATTTTAATGCCTATGTTCTGCTTCCTAATCTCATATCTTTTTTGAACATAAAGAACCAATACTGAAATAGATCAGCATTATTATTAACCCACTTCTGTGTTAGGTGATATTCTCTGATATTCTCAATAATAATTTGGTTATTTAAGATTCTCTAACACTATTACTGACTAAACGTAATAATTCAGATTTCCTAATCATGATTTGCACTTTTGATCTAAGATTAGCATCCTTCACGGCCAAAAAGATTTCTCTATGTGTAGCATAGACATCATAGAGTTAATTGGATCAATGATCTGACTTCATATAAAGTAAAGTTCCTGTGCTTCCCTGATAAAAAAGGATAAGTAGTCCATGACAATTATAACAGAAGTACCCTTAAAAAGTACTCTCCTGCCCACCTAGCAGTTCAAAAGCATGCAAAGACGAGTAGATTAATAGGTACCACTTTAGTGGGAAGGTAACAGTGTTTCGTGTGCCTTTGGCTTATAGTTATGCTGGCCACATGACCATGGAAAATGTCTTTGGACAATGTTGGCATCCTTGGCCAAGAAATGGAGGAGAGTACTACAGCCTCAACTAGGACACAACTGGACAGAACATCTTTATCTTTTACTCTTAAAAAATACCCTACTATTTTTGAATGTTGAAGTGGAAAGATTTTTCTACGTGTACAGAAAGGCAGAGATATCATTCATATATATATATATAGTATTTGTACGACCTTCTGACTAGAAAAGTTAAAAAAAATATCAAAACTGATTTAAATTTTATGTCAATTTTAAATGTCAATATTTAAATAATTCAGTTGTAATGTTTCAATTGCCTTAAGTGGACATTTGTTTGATACATACCACTAAATTGCCAATCACCATGACCATCATGAAGACAGTAAGGCACATGGGTTGTCCAGCAACCTCCATACAATCCCACATAGTCTCTATCCATTCTCCACAAAGAACTCGAAAGACAATCAAGAAAGAATGAAAAAAATCATTCATGTGCCAGCGTGGGAGTTCACAGTCATTGGAAATCTTGCAAACACATTCCTTGTAGTTTTTGCCAAACAACTGCATTCCAACCACAGCAAAAATGAAGACAATGATAGCCAAAACCAAAGTCAAATTTCCCAAGGCACCTACTGAATTGCCAATAATCTTTATCAACATGTTTAATGTTGGCCAAGATTTTGCCAGTTTGAAAACTCGAAGCTGAAAAAATAAAAGCACACAGGCATCAGTAACAGTGTTAATTACTTTTGATTTTAATTACTTTTAATTCATAATAAATATTGATCAATATTTTCTTAGGTATTCAATTCATCAAGAATTTAATCTTGTTTAGAAATTCTGCTCCTGAAAATGGACACTGGATTAGAAATCCATGTGAGGGTTCTCTAGAATATGTAAAATCAATATATATTGGTGGCTTTAAGTAATTGTGTTTGAGACTCAAGATGTGTACAAACCTATTTTGGAAAAGATCTTATTGGTCTTGATGAATTTAATACCTAAGAAAATATTGGTCAATATTTTTTATTCTGCTGCTATATTTTTTAATGCTGTTAGCTGCTGACTTATTTTATTTTTGCACAACATTCAGATATCAGAATACAGTATGTATATTCACAATTTGATTACTCTGAACACATAATATGATCAAAATGTTTCTTGAAACCTCCTATGGATATTTACCAATCTGAAAGATCTTAGAACTGATAATCCTTCCACATTTGCAAGACCCAACTCCATCAAACTCAGGCTGACTATGATGCCATCAAAAATATTCCAGCCTTCTTGGAAATAATAATAAGGATCCATGGCAATTATTTTGAGAAACATTTCTGCTGTGAAGATGCCAGTAAACACCTACATACAAAAAAATATCATTTGTCATCATCCAACAGTGAACAGTCTATTCATAAAAATGTTGTTGAGAAAGATAAAGGGAAATATAAAAAAAATACCTCCAATTGAAGAGTTTGCTATTTTGAGAAATGGAAACATGTATCTTGATATGTGCTTACCACAATTTTTGTATATCCTTACCACTAGGCATAAGATTCAGTCTCACACACTTCCCGTTCATAAGGAAGCTATCCCATAAGTTTTTCCCCAGTATTCTTTATCTAGTAGAAGTCAGATCAGGATCTATAGGTACATCTCTGGGCATCTATAATAAATTATTAGATTACATTTCTGATTGACCTTCCCTCCATTAGCAATAGCAACTGTTAGATATTCAATGGGGAAAAGTCAGTGATGTCAGACTTCCCCCGTTGGTTCATTTTCCAGGTGGGAAAATGAACAGCTGTCAGTGGCTGAAATTGTGGACAGCAGCCTGTAAAAAGAACACCAGGCACACTGGGCGGCAGTCTTTTATTCAGAGCTAAATAAAGAAATCCTTTCCTTCTATCGTTGTCCTGCCTCTTCAATCTAGCCCATATCTAACACCGGTGACGAAGGTGGGATTCTAGAAGAGAACAAGGGAAACGAGGCGAAGATGGAAAATTCTTACAACAGAATGCTGCTATCACCGTGCTGATCATCAGAATGTCCACCCACGCTCAACCAGAACCTTTTGATCCAAAAAAGCATGACTGGGTCACGTACATGGGACAATTCGAATGTTTTTAGAAGCAAATTCACTGCAGGATACAACAGAACAGAGGAAGAGAGCTCTATTCCTGGGATATTGTGGAAATCACCTCTACAAAACAGCTAGAACCCTAGCTGCTCCCAAAGATGTGAAAACAGTGGAATGGAAAGAATTACAGAAGATGTTAGAAGAACATTATGCTCCCGCTGCATTGTCACTGGCTCACTGACTTGACTTTTACCGCAGAGAACAGAAACCAGGTGAGACCATAAATGATTATCTTACAAACCTACGAGATATTGCTGCAGGCTGTGAGTTTGAAAATATGGAAATAACTTTAAGAGATAGAATTGTAGTTGGAATGAGGGAGCTGAGATTGCAAAGGAAGCTGATAACTCAAAAGAGCAACTCTTTAAAAGAAGTAATAGAGGGAGCCCGAGCAGCAGAAATCTCAGAAAAACTAGCAGCTAAAATTGAGAAATCCAAGAGCGTTCACTCAGCATGGGGGACGACCAGCAAATATCAGGGAGAGGGGGAGATTGGAGAACTCTCCAAAAAAGAGGAGGAAGAAATACATAGAATAAAACCTGATAGAAGATCAGGGCCCCAAGGCACGAGCCAGAGCCCCCTATGGTGTGCAGGCTGTAAAGGGAACCACGCCCGGGTGGTTTGCAAATTCAGGGATACAATCTGCCGTCGATGCGAGAGAAGGGGGCACATTGCTGAAGCAGCATACCCCAGTTCAGAGACAAGCAGGGTTCCCTAATCATCCACGTGGTGCACAACAAAGGGAATTCCAGAGACCTCCTCATTTAAATTACAGGAGGGAAGAGAATAGAATGGAGAAGGACAGAGGCTATGAGCACACAATAGTGGGGCATTCTGATTACCATAAATCAAAGAAATTCAATATCACAGTGATAATAGGAGAAAAACCTTGTGATATGGAAATTGACTCCGAATCCTACGTATCTATGGTGTCCTGGACAATTATAAAAGAAGCGAGCCCTGGCATAACTCGACAACAACTAAAACCATGTTTAATACTAAAAGATTTCCAAGGGAACAGCATTCCCCTGTTAGGAAGAGGAATTTTTCCAGTAAAATTCAGAAACTTCCCCGGTGAATTGCCTTTAACCATCATGGACAAAGAAGTACCAAGCCTCCTCGGAATAGAATGGTTTAGATCCATAGGAGTGGAAGTGACCATTCACACCATGCAAGTGGAGGAGCACAATCAAATGAGAGAGGACCTGCAGTCTGAATTCAAGGATGTGTTCGACGGAACTCTAGGCAAGTATAAGGGGACCCCTATTTTCTTCAACCTTGATCCAAAAGTTCCACCTGTCAGAATAAAACCAAGGCGAGTCCCTTTCTCCTTGAGACCCAAAGTGGATGAACAATTAGATAAACTCATAGCCCAGGGAGTACATAGCCCAGGGAGTACTCCCGCTAAGTGGGAGACCCCTATAATCACTCCAGTTAAGTCAGAGGGATCAGTTCGAATCTGTGCTAATTATAAAATTTCCCTGAATACTGCATTGCAACAGAGATCATACCCAGTGCAGGTTGTACAACATCCGTTGCATTCACCCATATCTAACAGCAACTATTAGAAAAGTCTATGGAAAAGTAGAAAAAAATTGGGAACGAATATTTGTGCAAAGAGATCTTTTGAATTTACTTCTGATATTCATCACAAATTCCTGGACTGAATATATATAAAGTACTCAGATTTATTATGTACTTTATTCTTTTAACTATCTGTCTATTGCCATTATTTTGCTTCTGAATGTTTTGCTGGAACTTCTAGGTTCTGATCTCTGCCCTCCCACTAAAGACCCCAATCATAAACCATTTGTCTATTTTATATGGTTGTGCATCTCTAGAATTTCTCACTACTTTTTCTTTTAAACAGGTGATTCCCTGGATTGAATATAAGCATGCAAAGTAAGGTCTATACAATCAAGCTTTTTCTGAAGAGGTGATTGTGAGCATTTATATTTCTAAAAAAGTTACAGTTTTATAACTCCAACTCACCATTATGTATTCACTAATAAAAGAGTTAAAATCCAATTATACGTTCACCTCCTTTACATTTTACCAACTATAAAATTGGCAATAGAAATTCAATGTCTGTGTCTGTCTGTCTGGTTTACAATTAAAAAAAAATATGTTGCTTCACTAGTAGTTTCTTTCAGCATTTTGCCTCAAGACAGGATTTCTGATGGGCAGCTAAATGTCCATTGGATCTAGTTCCTCTTATTCTTCAGTGTTTATCATTTGTCTTCCTGACTCCCCTGTAGCTGCTGATGGAAACAGCAGTGAAGAAAACAAATCCTTCCAGAAATTGCCAGATTTTGTAAGCAGCAGATCTCATGCCCTCCTTGCACTTCAGCTTCATATGTAGAATTCAAAATATTACTAGTATTAAAATCAGTCAAATTTCAGTCATGGCATATTGATTTGAATGGAACCCTGAAGGATGACTTAAACTAGATCTAAGCAGAGTCCAGAAATTCAGCAATCTATCCAATAAATGTAATTCTTTGCTCTTTTATGCGATTCCGGAAGACTTACCAAGTTTCCAACGGACAGTACATTATTAAACTGTTGAGTCATTGGGTAATGTTCCATTGCCATAAACAAAGTATTTAAAACAATGCAGATGGTAATAGCAAGGTCAACAAATGGATCCATCACAATCAAATTAACAATATGCTTTATTTTCAGCCAAGGAGTGCAGCAATCCCAGATTAAGCACATGTTAGCAAATTTGTACCAGCAGGGAGGACACTTCTGCCTGGATTCCTCAAGTTCTAGAAAGAGCGAAAAAGAAAGCATATGGAAAGACAATGTTCCAAAAGTTACCCAGTTTATCCATTCAACATATGTTAAGAAACCAGCACGGCAGCAATTCTAGGAATAACTTTCCTCTGCAACAAGGGCTCATCTTATTTTTTACAAATGGCCAGAAAAATGCAAACAACTATTCTTTACTAAACATGGATTGAGAGAAGAGGCATATTAGCAACATTTTTCTTTTATGTGTAGTGGGGATAAGGGATCTTCCTCTGTCTTCCTCTCTGGTAGCCACATATCAATGACTTGCTTGACTATGATTTAGGGTTGGGCAAGTTCCGAAGAGAGAATCCATCCAAAGTTGCTTCATGAAACAGCTCCACATTATTTGTATCAGTGCAGCAAAATGGCTGCATTACTTCTATAAAGTCCATAAAAAGATGTTTATACAGCTTCCTCCAGGACTCCTGCAACCTTCTCTGGCACTTTCAGAATATGAAAGAGGATTCTGTACGTAGAAGTGTCAGAGGAGCTTCTGTCTACCTGTGCTATCTCTCCTAACCCTTCTTCTAGTTTTTGCAAGTGAGGATGAGGCAAAGCAGAAGAAGAGATAAAAAATTACACTGAAGTGATGAGGCAACAGGAACCCCCTTATCAGGGTAAATTGCATGCATCTTTGTTGAGACATAACACATCATTTCTGGCAAAAGGCCTACTGTAGTTAAGAGTTTCAATTGGCATTTAGGAAATAGGACTACACTGTGATCTGACACCACACACCCAACCCATGATTGGTGTTATACCTAAATCTGTGCCAACTTACAGAAATATTTGAAACTACTTTGCAAATCGTATGTATTATATTCATGTTAACCGTGCTTTGCTGTTATGTTTGCGTTTGAATATTATGAAAAACCAGAGTAGGCAAGATCTAATTAGAACCCTGTTTTAGCTGAAGAAATCATTGCAACATGAAAATCAGAGTAAACAGAGAAAACTGAAAGCAGAAAAGAAGCACTATTCTGCTCCATTTTGATTGGCTCTTTGAACTAAATAATCCAGAAGATTATTAGAGTACTCTACCTGACTCTGTGGTTTCTTCCCCAAACCCCCAAAACTTTAACCTTAGACTGTCTACTATTCACCTTTCCTAAGAGGTCTGTAGGGGGCATGTATAAGCGCACCGTGCCTACCGTCCCTGTCCTATTGTTTCTTTATTTTTCTTATATGTATCCATTTCATGTATTCATAACTATGTATATACTTATACCTATTATCTTGTAAGCGATTGACTAATCAAATAAATAAAATAAAAATAAATAAAGATTAGAACATTAAGAATTCTCTCCTAGAACAAATCTGGTGTCTTTTTTAGGTCTTAACACTATATCCACAGTACTAGTAATAAGGAAAAAAGTTTATATCGAGAAAACAAAAATCAATAGCCACCAACAAAATAATAACATTTAAATTAATGACTATGAAGATGTTTGTTTTTGAAATGGAAATTCAGCTTTTGCCCTCTGAATTTTAGAAGCGTTGTTTACATGGGATGCTTACCTTCCATTGTGTTGGTAAGTATGCTAGCTATACTCATTGCTCTTTGCCTTGCAGTAGGATCAGAGAGAAAATCCATTGACATATGGTAGGAACTGGAGCGCCTTTTTCTTAGTTCTGTTTCTGTAGTGGTACCCTGAAAGTATAGGATTTATGAATTGGAAGAATAGGGTTATTTTTGACTTGTAAAAACAGACTATGCATGAACAGAATACTAAAGGTGGCAATATTCAATTCTTTGATATATTTCCTGCATATAAAAAGTGAGTGAGAGAGATAATTTGGCTTGAACAATCATTTTTATTATCAAGCTTAGTGCATCTTGGCTCAATGCTTGTTTGCAAAAGTTTCCCCAGAAGTAGTTACAGAAAATATTAACTCTCTATAGTCATCTGTCATCTGGATTTCTTCTGCTCAAATATTCCTAATTAGGAATCGATCGGAAGCAATCGATTTAAAGATGCCTTAAGAATTTATTAAGGACCTTAAGGATTTAGTTGATTATATTTGCATACTAATAAAAAGTTACATCAACTTCAATTTATAATGCTCAAATTTATTGTGAACTAGGCTTATAATTTTCCCCTTTCCATTTCTCCATTCTATTTGCATAGTATGAAAGTGAGTTTTTTTTTAAGAGCAGAGAAACAAAGTCTGGTATGAAACTCATTGATCAGCATCATTACCCATCTAGCAATTGTCATTAATGACTAAAGGTACTACTGGGTAGGTCTACTTTGTATAAATATGCACAGTCTGGACATGGCAGCAAAGGGTCTCTTTTCTGTATTTTTGCTGCCATTTAGTGGCCATTTGAATTTGTGAAGCCTGAATTTTCATTTCTTTTAATCGGAAGCATTTGGAATCATATTATATGAAGAAGCAGCATTGCTCTGACACTGTCCTTGACTTAAATATTGTCAGCCTAATTTTCTGTTTTTAGGAACATTTTTTTTTTAAATGAGAACATTTCCATCAGAGCAATGCATCATCATAAATAGTGTTGTTCTTCTGGATCAGGGGTGTCAAATTCCTGCCCTCTGGGCCGTATGCACCACACGCTGGCCACACCCACCCCTGGCTTAGCAAAGGGGAGGAAAGTCATGAGAAGTCACATGATGACAATGTGACGCCCATGTTCTGGATTAAAAAGAAAGATGACTACTGACTGGTATCCTTTAGGGAAAAATATTGAATGTCTTAATCTCATTTCAAGAGAGTTTTAGTTCTCCGTTGCCCTTTAATGTTAATGTTTCTTTGATTTAGTTACATGACAAACTGCTGAAACACCGCTCATGTTAACACAATGTTCCAAGTTGTGATTACAGCCATTGAAAAATTAAACAGGAACACAATGAAACAAAATTCCTTTATTTAAACTACATTTTTTTCAATCTTCTCAGTCTACATGCCCAGTCAGATGGCCACATTAAGGAACTAACCACCGGCCTCTGAGTTGCCAGAAAAGTTATGCCTGAATAAAATTTGCTGTGTCAATTGTCAAGCTCTATTTTGCCAAAGTAATATGGCTAGTGATAAATGTTGCTCTTACTGTTTTGATGAAAAGTAGATTTAGGAAAGCAATTTCCCTATCTTCATTTCCCATCTTACCAAACACTGCTTTCCAGTATGGAAGCTATCAGCAATCATTCCCCCTGAAATGTCGCAGGGCAGGATTAAACAAGGGCCTCGAATAGGACACTGAGCCACCAATCAAATTGCCTAATAGTTTGCAGCTGATCTGGGCTTGGCTTTGTCAAGTTGGGCTGTTTCTGAATGTGAAAGTAGAAGTGTTCTAAAAAGAGCATTCAACCCAGAGTGTGGGGTGAAGTTGGAAGCTTCCAGGTCAACTAGGGCTGCAAGAAAATGGCCGTATTGACAAGTCCTGTCCTTAGAGAGGGCAACACCTAGCATGGAAAAGGAGGTGGAATGAAATAGGCAAACCAGTGTTCCTTTCCCCCCAAAATAATAGGAACAGTACAAGTATGTCCACACAAAACCTCATTGGCAGCAGCAGAAAACCTATAACCACCCACTGTTGACAGAACACAGCTGGAATAACCTGGGATTATATGATTCTTTTCAAAAAGCTGAAAGGAAATTCCTTTAGTTCACCCTATGATCAAGAATTTTTCTTGTGCAAGATTCCTTATTATAGCAAAGCTCTGGAATTTAGCTCCTGCATTCTTCTGAGAGCCTATTTCGGGGTACTTTTTTTAAAGTTTAATTGAATTTATAAACTAATGTAGTAGCGAAGAACATTTCTAGTTTAATCCGCTTTGACACCAAACTGCAGGTAGATCTGAATTTAAGTTTCAAATCAATGCTGTTTTGTCCATTGCAGAAAGCTACCACCAACCCTTTTGGGATTTCTGACCCCTTTTTTTTGCTGGTTTGGGGTTTTGGGGGAATTTAACAGATCAAATGAATGCTTAAGCATTGCAGGTGCATAAAGCACACATCCCATCCTTTAAAATTCCTGAAAGCATCATCATCATCATCTTCTTCTTCTTTTAACAACCCCTTTTAATGATCCCTTGCAGGGTGGAGTCTGGGCAACTGAATGGAGCTAGCAGATTTTTTTAACGGCCAGATGCCCTTCCTGTCGCCAATGCGGGGGTTTGTTCCTCAGATATATTCTCAGTGTGCCCAGAGAGAGAAATATCTGCCTCTACCTAGGATCAAACTCACAGCCTCCTGATTGTGAGGCAAAAGCTCCATTTCTAGACCATTGCACCACTCCAAACTTCCCGAAAGCATCTCCCCATCAAAATTGGTCCCCCATCTTTCTTCACATGCTAGGCAAAATTTGGTACAGTCCCTGAGCCAATTATAGTTGCACTTCTGATCTCTTATTACCTCAGGAAGAAGCTGCCCAGTGGGTGACATAAGAGGAGGCGGCCCGCCAACTAAGGAAACCACCCCATTACAGTCCACAGTGCTGTGCATCTTCCCATTGGCTGGAAGGATAGGCATCACTCTAGATGATCGGCTGGCCTGACTGATGGTACTGTTGCGACGCTCACTGTGCCGGTGAGGAACAAAGAGGGAATCTCTCCTACTCTCGTTGTCTTCGAAAGTGCTGTGCTCATCGTCTGCAAAATCATTCTCTGATCCAAGATCCTTTGCTCGGCCTCTGAAGCTGAAGAGACTCGTTTTGCTGCTGCGCCTGGGGGAAAACAGCGATCCACGGATGCTCAGCAAAGACTGTAAGAGAATGCAAGATCAGAAACATCCATAAACAGATTGAAAGGCGATGGGAAAATTAAATATCCTCCTTAAGTATAAGGAAATGAACGAACACAGTTATTTTGGGGTCTCTCAAGAGTACAGGAACAATCTTCATTATTTAAAAAAAAAACATTAAATAAATATTTATTAAATAATTTCTAAACTAGTACCACTATTTCTCTTGGCTTTACATTCTATATGTAATAAATCATAAAGGGTCCTTCTTTGAGGGAGATGGGTGGTTCAGAAATATGAAAAATAAATTAGTAAAAGCCTGACTTATCCATGCTTGCATCATTTTAGCATTTGCTTTATTGTGCAAACCAAAAGTTGGTATTTTGTGGGACCAGCCAAGCCCCCACAACCCCTTTTAAAAGGCTACAGGTTATTCCTGGAGCTCTCTAGCATTCACTGTTCCTTCTTTTTGCAGCTGCTGCCTTGCTATTGTCTTCTTCTAAGCAAGCAGAGGAACTCGAACAAGAATGGCAAAAATTGCCAGGAGATTGAGGTATATTCTTCTCATTTAAGATGTACCCCAAAGAATTATTTTACAATTTACTCAGTAAGTTTTTTTTCTTGAGGCTTGGACAGAAATCGATATAGAATATAGAAATGAATTCTAATTCTGCACAATTACATACCAAAAGTAACCAACTAAGAAGACTCATGAGAAGAAAAAGGGTTGAGGCATAACCCATAAAGTGATCCAAAAATCTACAGAACTGAAATGTGCATTGAACTTCCAGATTTACCTTCCTCACGTATATTCTCCATACCTGGTGTGGGGAAGAAAATCTTTTTTCATAGGTTAATCTGTTCCCTTCAATAGAGAATCGAAAGCCTTTTCTGCGGATGCTGTCCTCTGATTCTGATTTGTGAAATTCATCCTCATCTTTTTCATCTCCTTCAGACTGTTCCCTCTGCTTTCTCTTTTTCCGCCTGTTCTTCCTCTCCTTAGCACTCTTGGAACTCAACTTTGATGTTGCCGAAGAACTCTCTGAGAATCCACCTACACCACCAACTTCACTAAATTCTCTCGATTCACCAGCTGCGGCGGCTAAAGCTGCTGCCTGAAAGTTAAAGTACATTTAAGATACATCATACCAATATGTTAACTGAATGGTTTTTTTTAAATAAAACAGGTGAATGTGATGCTCATTATAGTAAGCCTATATTTCAAGGAAAAAGGAACTTGCTAAATAACGTGGCATGTTTAAATGAATATGAAGCATACTTTAATCTCATTAAATTTACCTCAGTATGTTAGGCTTAATCTTTTCCCACCAAGGATGCTGCTCTGAACTCCCAGGAAATCTACAATTTAGAAAGCCTTATGGCAATCTTGAAATGCCAGTCTTTGCTTTTATCTACTACCTCTCAATTGCATAAGAAGAGAGGTAGTTGTTCAGTTTACTGTACGGTCTTTGCTATATAGTGAGAAGCACAATATTGAGCACAAAGATCAAGCAACAAAAATGGTTAAGGAACTGGGGAATCACTAAAAATACAACCTTCCTGGGCAAAGAGGTCAATAAAAGGCATGGGTGAATACCTTCTGGCTGAGGGCCTGTATGCAATTCTCCTGCTCTAAGATTCATGTGTACTCCAGCTTCCTCCCTAGTTGTAGCTAACTTTTATTCATATTAAAATTAAACAAAATGGTTTTAAGACTAGTTAAACTGGTAGAGGATAAAGCCCTGTATGTGAGGAAGGTTTGGGAGGATAGGATGCGGTTATTTTTCTGGCCATGACTATTAATAGTTTGGATTATTGCTATGCCTCTTGCCCCACTAATATGCTATCCTCAATTTTTAAAAAATAACTCACAGACAGGACATTTTCCTTTTATTGGTGGTCAGAGCGGCCTTATTAAAATCAGAGTTTCAGCCATAAGAGGGAGGGGGAGAGGAATACTAGGAGGAAGATGGAAATCCCCTTGCCTCTTTCACTAGGCAGCATCAAAAGGAAAGTACCTTGTCCACTTCTTTTTAGCAGATAGGACAACAAAATCTTAGGTTTTTTTAATGGTGTATAGAAGATATATATTTAATATCTAAATATCTCAACTGTATTTTATTTCTGATGGAGGGATATTTAATTCATTCTGAAACTGTAGGAATAACAGGGCTTCATTTAGCACTATTAGTTGAAATTTTGCCTCAAGACAGAAGTGCCTTTAAAAAAAAGAATTGAACAGTGGCATGATGACAAAAGGAGTAGGCAGTAATGATATTTAGGGTCCAATGCTTCCTTTTGGGGGTGGGAACAATTTTTGAGGACAAAGAGTTTTAATTTTTTATAGGTACATTAAATCTATTTGAGACTTAATGCACCAAGTTTTTAGTTTCCTATCCTCAAATGGTTCAATACTGAGGGACACAAAAGAAGGAAGACATGGTAATTTTCTTCCTATCCCAATGGTCAGCAGTACATATGTTTGAATATACGTATACTCATGCCCACTAGATGTTGCCATCTTGAAATGTTCTAGTCCCCCATGACTCTGAAGTCAACCAGCTGGAAGTCACAAAATTTGATATAGTAAACCCATGAGTTTACATATCTTTTGTAAGTACAGGACAAAAAGTAAAAGTTGTGTTCTGCTCATTAAGTAACCTGAGCCTCTTCTTGCTGTTTTTTCAGCTGTTCCAGCATCTGCTGGAACTCTGCCTCTTTCTGCTCAGCTTCTTCCATGGTGGCCTGATTCTGCTCTTCATAGGCCATGGCCACAACAGCCAGGATCAAGTTGATCAGGTAGAAAGAACCCAAGAAAATCACCAGGACGAAAAAGATCATGTATGTTTTGCCAGCAGCACGCAGAGTCTATAAAAGAAGATAAAGAACACATATTTTTAAAACAGTCCTCCAAAATATGTTAGCCTCCTTTTTTCTTATAGACTAGGGAATGAACATAAGACAAACACTGTTCTAATCTTATGAGATAGTTTGACTATATTGGTCAAAACTCATCTGTGAGTTTATGGACAAAGTTGCATGTTAATCTATAAATAAACCTACAGTTGCTGTAACTATCATAGATAAGACACATTTGGGCTACTAAGCTAGTACAACTGGAACTTTCCTCCCTTCATCACTGAAACAGAAGTACTTCCACTATGTTAAGAAGAGATTAAGGAAAACTGGGACATTTTCCAATTCTGTCAGCATGCACAATAAGACAGCAGGGAAGAATGTATGGCCCTGTGGGCATTGCTTAATTCCAACTCTTACCATCAGTAGCTAGGGTGACCAATGATGAGAACAATAAAAATTGAAGTTCAGTAATATCTGGAATGGAAGTGTAGATTACCAACATCTGCTTCACTCAGCTGTGTTTCAAGATAACATCAAAAATTACTGGCTAGGGACCAAATTAGGAAGCATGTGTAAAGGTTAACATGACTTTATGACCAAAATGCTAAGCCACAATGAAGATTAACACTAACCAAACTTAGCATATCACCGAAGCAAATGCATTTGCTACCTCAAGGGCTGTCAAATGCACGGGCTGTGGGTCAGAAGTGTCACACACTGGCCAAGCCCGTGCCTAGTTTAACAAAGGGGGGAAAGTCGTGATACGTCGCATGATGTGACCATAATGCCGCGAGTTTGACATCCCTGGGCTACCTGATCCTGCCAAGGAGGTTGCATAAATACAGGTCATCTGTTATTTCTGTACTTGTGCAGTACTATGGTTGCTTCTAATATACACATTTGGCATTTTACTGACTACACTGAGCAGAATGGTGAGTTGGAGCATAGGCAGTACACTGAAACTACCAGCAAAGCTTTATTTTGTAGAGAGCAAAGGGATGCTGTTCTCTATTTCAATGGTCAATGTTCTCTATTTCACTTCCTCTTACTCACTCAAGAGCTTTTCTTCCCATTTCCTTTCAAAAAGCTATCCATAAGATGATGTCTGAAGATTATGGAGTTCACCTGGAGGGTGTTTAACTGGGAAGAGAATACTATCCTACCCCTTCACTTTTATCTGATTTGTGAAATGAATTCTTTATAGGGCCAATGTAGGAATAGATTAAATGGTGCCCTGCAGATAGTCAAGTTAGCTTGCTCTTATGAGAGTTATAAAGAACTATGGGAGCTATTAGAGCTCATGAGAATATTTGAAGTTTTCAAGTTGCTGACCCTGAAAGTAATGTTTGTCTTTTGGGAGGAAAAACCAACGGTAAACGTTGCATTACAACAGGATCCCTTGAGCATATACAAAACACTGTGCGTGTTGGGTGTTTTATCCATTATCTACAGGGCTGTAGGGAAGGGTCCCACAATCCGGTAATAGCTCCTGGTGTCCAGGAAGGGATTGCAGCCCTCCATGATATTGTGGGTTCATTTCCTTGCTATCTCCTGGTAAGAGAATCCCCATCTCAGCATTCTTTATGGCTATTGGGGTTAATAGCATGAAGGAGTCTAATACAGTTCCATATATTCCTTTGAGAAACGGAAGTTGGAACGGTTCTCTGTTGCCCAAGAGCTCCAATGTTCATGCCAAAATGGTTAACAAAGTTGGATATCAGTGATGCAAAAAGTGGCTGGCTTCATATAGCCTATCACTATTCCTTTTCTGACCAGCAAGTGACTCACAGAAGATGGGGACAAGTATTGGGTACTTGTTTACATTGTGGAGAATTTGGACATCAAAGGGGAAAAATGCCTCAAGATTGCAGACCGCTATTTGTCTCCCATACTCTCCAACCTCTCAAAATGATCGCCAATTTGGAATCCCATCTATTTTGGAATGCAGGCCTCAGTATGCCAAGTAAAGCCTAGAGCGGCTCTCACATGATCAAAATTAAGACCTTGTGGTATACATTTAACTCTTAATGAAATAAGTAGACTCTGAAATTCTTTATTTGAGCATTTGAGTATACAACTGTTATGCTTCAGAAACAGTTCATCATGGCATAACAGTTGCAAATGTTTGTTCACAATTCATTCAGGTGCTCATATTAAAATGCTGCTTTACATAGTCAGCCTTGGTGCTACTACTGGTACTTCCTGCTTTCAAAGACCCTCACCAGTTGATAAAGGTTTTCCCAGAAGTCCTGAGTCATCAGCCGAAAGAGTGACAAGAAGGCCCAGCTGAAGGTATCAAAACTTGTATAGCCATAGTTGGGGTTTCTACCAGCTTTTACACACATATATCCTTCTGGACATTGACTAGAAAAAGGAAAAAATTGCCATTTTTAAAGATTATCCTAATCAATGTATGCTTTACTATAGACTGAGGCTTGAGCAAGCAGCCTATCAATTTTCAATAGAATGAAAATTATACTCACTTGTAAATGTATTATGAAATCATCCAAGAATACCAATTACACACAAAGACTGGCCACAATTTGATGCCCTCCAAAATAATGGATTTTAATTTGGCAATGTGGGATGAAGGATTAAACCAGCTAAAATGTAAAACACTGGAGTGCACCAAGTTGAGAAAGGCTGGTCTTTTTCAATATTAACTAGGGAAAATTATTGATTGGCTAAGCTAAATCCTTAAGGCAGTATCATAAAATGCAGTCCTATCAGATCAGTATCTCTTTAAATAACAGTTCAAGACCAGAAACAAAGAAAGAGGCTTATTTTGACTTTAGAAATGTTTCTAAGTTTCAAGATAATTAAATAAAGTTAGACTGATAAAGAGAAGTGGAGAAATGTCCATAGCTCCTTCCATCTTCAATATTTATGGCTTAAAGTTAGCTGCAAATATTTAAGCAGCAAACTTCTGCCCCACCCAAATATTATCAAATCTGAAACACTTCAGCGAGTAAAAAAAAAGTTAAATTGTTTACCCTTAACCATAATTTCAGCAGCAATTTCCAAACAAATAATTTATTATATAAATAACAATATATAATATATAAAACAGATTGTCTTCTTACCCTGCATCTGAACCGTTGCCACACAGTAAAGCATCATTTTGTCCTTCCAAGAAGTAAAAGTGACCTATTTGGAAAGAGAATTGGCTATATATTTACTTACACTAAAAGTCACTGTTAGTACAAATAAGCTAAATAGACTTGCGGAATCCTAAAGACTAACAAATATATTACAACAATGTTATAGGAGAAATACTATGCAAGTCTATGGTAGTTAAAAAACAGAATCTGGTAGCACTGTTTCAAGCTAACACATTTTACTAAAAGGCACAAGCTTTTCTGAGCTACAACTCTCTTCAGGAGATGCGTAGGGTAATTAAACTGATGTAAGATAAGCATGAAACAAGGAAGAGGAAAAGAGTGGTTATACAGATGCAGATTGTTACATAAAACAGATTACAGTTAAGAATTGTAATGTGTTAAACACTCATTTGTTTATAAAGACTTTGTGAAACAGCCTGACATATGGGAATCCAGCAGGCTCTTATTCTATGAAGAATAATTTCTTTGCTCCAAAATAGCAACTTTGAGATCGGTAATCAATATTCTGGGAATTTAAAATACTCTGATATTACTTTCTCCTTGTCTTGAGTCCTATTGTCAAACCTGTGTCCATTATTTTTTGTGTGTGTACAAAGTCTGATCTGTTCAATGTAGGACCCAAGGGACATTGCCTTGCCACTAATGCAGTAGATGCTACAACTGCTAGCAATAACTAAAAAGGTCACACCGGAGCCATTTTGATTTATGCATCTGCTGGACTTGGTGTCCATCTACATGTCAGAACAAATCTGTAAATCTTTAGATATTTTTCAATTGCATCTAATTATGGCAATTTTTTTCCACTGGCAACCTTTTCCCTTTTCCCTGTGTATGATGTTGCCTTCAAGACATTGCTAGCTGATGAGTGCTTGGAATATATCATTCTTAGCTGTATAAATGTTTTCCTGTATTCTGAGATCATCTAAGGATAACCTTAAAGTGTACAAAAACTATTAGGCTTTGTCACCATTACTTTTCAGAGGAATGAACAGACTGGTAGTGGTCTCTTCCACATGCCCTCCTCATCCTCATCCTCATATCATACTGGCTTATTCATTATTTGTTGAGGAGACAGCAAGCCTCCAGTTCAGTGTTAGATTGTCACAGAGGCCAGCTAAAGGCAGATCAAATCTGTTTTCATCATTGGAAAAATGGAACAAGCCCTTATCTACAGAGCCTTTTGGGTCCAAGGGGAGGCTGGTGACCTTCAATTGGCTCACTGATGGATGTCTTCTGCGCCCCCTCCCCAATTTCCAATCTCAACCTAGCCCTCCCTAGCCATTTCTCTTTTGGCTGGAACTCAGAGTGTCTAGAACTTTTCTAGCAATTAGGTTTTTCTCCTTGGAGACATTGGTTTTCCAACTCACATGCTTTCTTTCTTCCCGTTTTGGAAGGAAGATCCAAGTGACTGGGAGCAGAAGCAACAGAAGCACAATAGCTACGGTGGCAGAAATATCATACTGGCATAACGTTTTGCTGATTGAAGAATGGCTGGATAGTATTTCAACTCAGCAAAAAGGAAAGGCCTTTTAAAGGCTCTCAAATCACACTTTTGGGGGGTTGTGCTTTACTAGACTGATATGGCAATCTCTCTGGAATGTGTCATTATTATTATTATTTTTAAATCATCCAAAATTTAAGAGGGTACAAAATGCAATTTGCCACAATTTAAACCACAATTTAACATATTTTCTTCATGTTTATACCATTACAGGTAGTCCTCAACTTACAACAGTTCATTTAGTGACTGCTCAAAGTTACGAAGGCACTGAAAAAAGTGACTTATGACCATTTTCAGAGATTCACTTAACAATTGTGACAAGAAAAGTCGTAAGATGGGACAGAACCCATTTAACAAACGTCTTACTTAGTACCAGAAATGTTGGGCTCAATTGTGGTCAAAAGTCAAGCATTGCCGTAGTAGTAGAAAAGAAAATAACTAATATTCCTTGGATTGGAAACACCATGAATTAGCAAACCAACTACAGCATTTGCTTACAATACACCATTTCTTCTAAGGAAAACTTTTGGAAGAAAGGTTAAAACAAAAAGAATATGTAAGTTTTAAGGTTTGGTTTTAACATTTTATGTTTTAACTAAGATGTAACTTTAAGCTGCCCAGAGTTACTCTAAGGTAAGATGTGTGGCCAATACATTTTATAAATAAATAAATAAATAAGTAGTTCTTACTGTCATCACTGACATAATCTTCCCAGTTAAAAGTGGTCACTGTCGTATTTACAAAGGTACCATTTTCTCCCATTGTGCTATTGAAATAGGAAGTGATGTTTATTTCAAAAGTAGAATTGTCTGGTGGCCAAATCAGGCATTTATGCCTCAGGTTCCCCATGAAAAGTTGGAGCCCTATTAGTGCAAATACACTCAGACAAAACACGGTCAAGATCATGACATCTGAGAGCTTCTTCACAGATTGAATGAGAGCCCCTACAATTGTCTTCAGGCCTGCAAGCCAAGAAAAAAGAAAGAAAGCAGTTTTGATATAGTGTTCAAGACTTCATAAGAAAGTATTGTTTCAAGTAACTTTTCATGCAGTATGGCGATGAAATGAATTGTCTTTGTGACAGTTTCATGAAAAGCCTGATTGCCTATGAACATGAATGAGAAGCTGTTAAGTATACGCTGATCTCAAATTTTATATACAAATAAAATATATTTATGTTTTTAGATAAATATACATTGTACGTAATCAGAGGAACACTTGGCCTAAGCAAAAAATATGATTTTGCTATCCATGCTGTATCTCTATGGAAAAGCACATTATTTTCACTTGCTGTGTTTCTTGCCCAAACCATTATTGTGCGATCACTTTGTAAAATATTCAACAATGTGCCTCAGTTTATGCTTATTAATAAGTGTATGTGATATAAGCTATTTGAATGATACTGGATTAAATCTTATGGTATAAAACAGGTGATGGTTTGGAAAAGACAGACAACTTCTAGGAAATCCCCATGCATGGCCCATGCTATACTTCATGTTCTGCATATTTAACACATTGCATTTTCTTTAAAAAAAAAAAGCATATAAACAACAGATTGCAAGTTTGTCTGAAGTGCCTGAAAAAAAAAAAAAGAAGATAAAATTTGCATCAATATGAAAGCCTCACTATATTGGCCTTTAATTTAAAAGTAGAAAGCTTGATGTCATAAGATGCAAATTGTATAGCCACCTACTGCAAACATCTCATGCAAGAATGTGTTAAACGCAAAGGCTGGACTGGAAAGAAAACGTAAGCTGTAATATTTAAAAAGCAAAGAATCACATTAGACTGAAAGCCATGTGTTTGATTCTTGCTTTTTATTTTTGCTTCTACTGTGCAGTGAGCAACATGGCTTATGCTTAAAAAGATGGTTCATCTTCCATGGAATTCTAAAAAGTCAGCCTCTGGGTTTAACCTAGCTCTCACCTGGAATGACTGATATTGTTTTCAATGCCCGGAGAACTCTGAATGTTCTCAACGCTGAGACATTACCCAGGTCCACAAACTCTGTCACATATCTGTAATAGGGGAGTTCACACACAAACACAATGACAACACACAAAAAACAGCTGGAAATACCAAGGGGCCTGGCCCTTCGTCAAGCCACTCCTTACCTGGAATTACAGAAATAGTTTTCAAAGCTCTCAATACTCTGAAAGTTCGAAGAGCTGAAACATTGCCTAGGTTTACAAATTCTGTTATATACCTGTAGAATTAAACCACAGTTATTCAGAATTGAGGCAGAGCTTAGGCTACTTGCTGGGGCGGGGTCTTTAATTAACACCTTGTCTCCCTTTGCTGCAATTGCCTTGTATTTACTAATATGGCTTTCCTGACCTTCAAATTAAATAAATCAATGCACAAATCACATTGTTTGTGAAAATTAATTTGGGAATTTGAGAAGTGTATTAATTTATTATAAGCAAGTGGCCAAACACATTATTTTGCCTCTATAGCCAAGACTGTTTCTGACATGCTAAAAAATAAATAACATGAATAAGCACAATTAGATTTATTGTTATAGAAATCTTTCAAAATACTTTTCCTTCTTGAATAAACTTTTCTCCTGAGATCAGTCCCTATTAAATTCTTCAAAACACAAAATAATCAGAACACAATGAAACACTTACGCGAATGTTATAACTGTGAAATCCAACCAATTCCAGGGATCCCGGAGGAACGTAAAACCTTCTAAACAGAAGCCCCTTGCAAGAATTTTTATTAGTGATTCAAAGGTATAAATTCCAGTGAACGTGTATCTAAGGAAAATTTCAGCACAAGAATTAAAGGAAAACAATTGTTTTTTATAACAATTATATATATACCACATTTTCAAAGGTAACAATAAAAAATTAAAATGGAGAAAATGCCAGAAATTTAAAATAGCAAACAATTCTGTTCTGGAGAATAAAGAAATGGCCCGGTTATAATTCAAAAGGACAAAAAGCAGGTGGGAGCAACAGTTCCATTTTATGTTATATTGCACAGGTTAAGTTTTTGCAGGTACACCAAACCGGAAGGAAACTGCAAGGAATTAAAATCTAATATGCAAGGATATACACAAAAGTTATACGCAAGTAAATATAAGCTTGCAGATGATATAAAATACATGTATCTCCACTGGTGGTAATCATGCCAATGGAAGTACTCAGTGGTGGGATTCAAATTTTTTTACTACTGGTTCTGTGGGCATGGCTTGGTGGGCGTGGCAGGGGAAGGGTACTGTAAAATCTCCAATCAGAGGTGGTATTTGCCATTCTCCGAACTACTCAAAATTTTCACTACTGGTTTTCTAGAACGGGTCAGAACCTGCTGAATACCACCTCTGGAAGTACTTGAAATGAAGGTAGTGCACTGTATCTCACTGTATAGAACAGGGGTGTCAAACTAATGGGCCGTGGGCCAGATGCATTACACTCAGAACATGCCCACCCCAGCTCTGCAAAGCAAAAAAATATTGTGGAACATCACGTGATGGCAACGTGACACCACGAGTTTGACACCCATGGTATAGAATATAGGTCTTGGTTTCAGGGCCAGTTTACATCACGTTTTCCATGCATAACCTTAATGGGCACTAAATATTGTAATCCAGAACAGTCTGCATAATTTGTAAAAAAAACAACAATGTTATGAAACTCATTATTGAAGTATGCTATAAATATTAGAATAAGTCACTTGATTACTGCAAATGAAAACAACCTTTCTGGCTTTGTTAACATGTTGAATGGAAATAAAATTTGACTTACTCTACATTCTTTGTCCATTCTGGAGGATTACTCATAGTCATAAATACACAGTTGGTTAAAATAGTGCACATAATAAGCATGCTGAATAATGTATTAATAGTTAAGGAAAACATACTGGAAAACACTTCTTGTAAATGATCACATCAACAATGTTTGGCTTATTTTCAGAATCAGTAACTTCTTGTATATTTACAAAATAATGATAATGCTTGAAGAGAATTTCCAAAATTTTCTACACATTGCTCCAAGTTTTTTAAAAGTAAACATTTACATAAGCAGAATTTTTTTAAAAAAATAAGGATTTTTATAGAAATGAAAGATGGGAAAAAGTTGTTACCTCTTTATTAAAAGTAAAACCAGGTAACTGCAGCAAGATGTTATTGGCCAGTATAACACCAGAATGCAAAGAAACTGACCAGGCCACAAACAAAAAGGACAGGCAACCAGAGAAGAACATTTTTGACATGGAAGAAAAATAATATTCAGTTCAATATCCACTGAATTTTTTTAGAGCTAACCTATGCTCTGTAAGACATTGATTAGTGAGCACTAATAATTCTGAACCATTAATGTTTCAAGGCTCAAATACAGTCTGATATCTTACATTCTGTGAACTGATTTAAAGTTAGATTTATACCTTCCGAAGGTAACTTCATACTAGTCCCACCTCTTTAAGGTAGTCCTGGTGGAATAATCAGATCATATTTTTTGTTCTTTTAGGGAGAATGCAACAAACATTTGCCTGACTTCAAAACATCTGTATGCTTATTAATGGAAGGGCTTAAGAAAATGGTGCTGGGCCATGAGGTCTACCTGCCTGAAAGACTTGCTCAAAGGGAAGGTTGAGCAGCAGCAATTCTAGGAGTGCCTGCAAAGGATCAAAAATAGTAAAAAAAAAAAAAGTGGCCAAAGACAGGTGAGCGCTACCTTCTTTGTTTAAATGTTCGTTGTGACAAATATTTTTTAAAAAAAGGTTAGGACACTGATGGCATGGCCATCATCTTGACTTTTTTGCTTTCCTTCCTGAGGTAATGGCTGAGTCATGCAAAGAATAATTCAAGGTTTGTGTTAGAATTCTTCCCTGTCACCATCTTACTAGAAATGTTTTCTTGTATATGGCATTAAATGGCCATATGATGGCAGCATAAAATAAAAGATGTTGAGAGCTGCTTTATTTGAAGGGCTGGGTATTATATGTGCATTTCACCTTCCTAGTGTGTGCTCAGAACAGTATACAAGGGATTGTTGGGATGAACTGCTGAATTAACACGCACAATTTCTATTCAGATTTTGGTAAAGTTTTTCAGCGTAAAGGATGAAAGAAGGCTTCTGCCAAGGAATACTGATTCAAGGACCAGAGGCCTTTCCTGACAATTCATGGGGATATAAAAAGTGGAATTCGGGCCCTCCTTCTAATAAAAGAGAATCTTAACATTTAGGTTTTTTTATCAGATGTTTCTCTTTTAAGTCTGTTTCATTCCCCCCATAGGTACCACCAAGTTGTTCATTGAGAATTTTCTAGAATGTAGCCATCAAGGACTAGAATGTGGCTGTAAGGCTAAAAATAATATTGGGGGAGGCAGGGGGGAAGCTCTCAAAACCATAAAAATATGAATTCATCTGGAATTGTATATACATTTTTATACACTGAGAATAAGTAGCATGGAATACATGAGACATTTTAAAATAGGTATGTGTTTGTGCTGAAACAATGGAATCTACTCATTCTCTAGAGCTGGTCCAATGTATTACATGTTCAAATAGTAAAAAAAATGACATACATAAATGTATTAAAACAGACCAATAAAACTTAATTGTTTATATGGATCTGATGTTATAGGATTCCACTGTAAGGTACTGAGGTTAGCAGCATAGAAATTGCAAAAATTGAAGGCCATGCTGCTTGACATGAGCATTTGCTGTTCATTAATATTTTGTGTTCCCTGAAATTGGAGAGAAACTGCCTTGAACAACATCTTGCAAACTTCACAGTTGAATGGAGTAGTATTCAGAATTCATAATTCTCTCACGATTTTCAAAATCAATTGAAATATAGATTCAGAATAATTATATCATATTAAAATTACAGAAAAACATACCAGTGCTTTCTACCTGAAAAATAATATTTTTAATTCTGTATAAAAAGGAAAACATAAAGACTTACTGTTTGGACTTAAGTTTGGACTGAATGCTTGCAACAACTTACAAGTTATAGATGAATTTCAATAGGCATAACGTCTGCTCTAAATTTATATTTTGAACACCTATTTAACTGTCTGAAAATAACGCTGAAATATTTAATAAATCAGTTTATATATAGCATCCATCTATACGCGATCCAGAGAATTTAGCAAAAAATGCAGGGATATTTTTCACTCAGTTCACATGGAAATTTGATTTGTCTTGATATGCCTAATTAGAGCCCCAGGAATTAGAAATGGCTCTTCCAATATAAGCCAAATCTCCCATTTATCTCACTGCAGGGAAAGAATGATTGACAGGTAAATTCATTTTAAGAAAACATATTGATTTTATTGAGGAATTCCTGATAACCATCTAAAAATCGTAGGTCAAGAGTCCAAATCACTGGTGTTTGGTATAACAAAGCAAAATTCAAAAGCAGGATCATAGAAATAAAGGCTACAGCAAGAAATCATGGGGAAGAACAGAAGAAAAAAAGGAAGGCTTTTTAACATCTTTTTTTTTTAAAGCTCTGCACTTCATAAATGGGTGGAGGGCAACATTGGCAGAAATGGGTAAATAAATAAAATAAAAAATATAGAAATGGGTAAGAGGCAAAAAGAGAAGACGAACAGGACAAAGTAGGAAGTAAACAAACAAAATCCCCATGGTTTAGTCAACTTACTGAAAACAGAAATAGCATTATTTCAATCATTATGAACAAAGAACTTGAAAAGGATATGAATGTACCAAAATCTTGATAGCTATTTTTCTAAGAGGGTTGAAAGGAGTTAACAGGTACACAGCAGATGTGGCACTGAATCGAAATATTGCCTTCCCTTTATTCAATACTATAAATGTCTAGAAAAAAAGTAACAAAATTAATGGAGAAAATGGGATCCAGAACCTGTAAAATGGGTTCTGCATTGGTCTATCATAGATACAAAAGACTTTATTGAAGTAGCAGTTACAAATATAGAAGGTAATCTCTCTACCCCCCTATCTAATTTTGTTCAATCATCTGTTTATGATTCAAAATGCGCTCATCAACTATGGTAAGCAGATATTTTCTTTAACATGGAGCCAGACTTGTGCAACCAGATAAAAATTTAAATATTGTACACTTAAATTCAAGAGCAAAACCTAGATTTTGACAGACTGAGAAAAGCTCTTTCCTTCTATGGTTTTAATTGTAGACTAGCTTCTCGCCAGCTTCAGCATCAGTAACCCAGCCGTTTCTTCCCCCACTCTCAACATCTTAATCTATTGAGATCAATGGATTAGGCAAGTCCAGTAATGCTGCAGAATTCTTCACTGCCAAATAAAAAAAGCTCATTAAAAACTTTTTTTATCAGGATATGCCTAAAAGGTATTATATACGTTCTTGTGAAGCTGCACTTGGTCAGTATATCTGAGAAAACTTCATAAAGAAAAGATGATATATATGGTGCACCATGCTTATACTTCACCTTGTAACTGGGTGGTTATACTTTTAAAAATTGTTTTGCTTCCCAAAATCTCTGTAAAAATGTACCCATGCTCTCATCCATGAACTAGAACCCATCAGTATGAATTTAATGTTACAATTATCCTACCAAGATGTAGACAGATGATAAATTTGGTATCATCTGCATATTTATAATATCTCACTCTCAATGAATCAATGAGCTCTCCTCTCCTGTACAAGTATATCATGAACAGCAGCAGAGGAAGAATATCCACAAGTGACTACCTGATGGGCTGATTTTTATTCCCCATCCATCACAGATATGGATGTGCTCCCTCAGAAAATAAAAGATAGCACATTTAAATCCCAGTCCTCTAAGCAGCCAAGCAGGATAACCTGGCTAATAGTATTAAATACCCCTGAGAGATAGAAAAATACCAGAATGGATGCATTTCCTCAAAAGTATTGAAGGTCATCCACCAGAGTAAAATGCATTTTCATTCCATAACTGAATCCCAACTGAGGATATGAGACCCTATTCACTTCATCAGAGTTCATAGATCAAAAGGACTCCTGGATAATATTGCTGGTGGCGCTTCAAGCACACAGTTCTGATTGAATAATTAAGATTACAGAGAAAGTGAGCAATGTTAATAGCAAAATCTTGTACTTATAAGTCACAAGACTTTCTCCTGCTCCTATTTCTCTATCAGGAAGCAGTCAAATTTAAACCAGTTTCTCCCCACACTTAAAGTCACAGATGGTAGGCTTGACCATACAGGTATTCCTTGACTTACGAACATTCATTTAATAACCATTCAAAGTTATGACAGTACTTTAAAAAATGTAAAGACCGATTCTTGCATTTATGACTGCCACAGCATCCCTTTGGTCATGTCATCAGAATTGGCAACGGACATGTATTTAGAATGGTTGCAACGTCCTAGAGTCATGTGATCACCATTTGTGACCTATCCAAGGGGCTTCCAACAAGTAAAGGTAATGGGGGAAGCAGATTTGTTTAACAATTGTGGTAATTCATTTAACAATCATGGCAAAACAATAAAAAAATTGGCATGACTCACTTAATAACCATTTCCCTTAGAGACAGAAGTTCTGGGTTCAGTTACGGTGAAAACTACCTGTAGGTCATACTCAAACTCAGTCGGATTACACTTTAGTCTACTTTCCTTTCACTGATACTTCAACTGTTGCACATCTTGTCCCATAGGTCCTAGTAAAACAAAGAACACCCCCAACTCCAATCCCAGTGTCAACCAGTATAGAAAGAGGCTGCTTGGGAAGAATCATACCAAGCATCCCAATTACCATCTCAAGACAGAAGTCCACCCGACACTCAATAGAACAGCCTAACAGATGATATGAAACTTACCCAATCAAGATCATTAGATCTTGAGAAAGACCTTCTTCATGGGCCCATTTATGAGCAGTGAAAATGTCATCTGGACCAGGAAGTGATCTGACCACATTAAAGGACTCAGTCTAATGTCATCCATATGCAGATCACATACTAATTATTCTAAGTTAAAGATGAGGTCAAACATATGTCTGCTGAGGTGATTATATGCATGATCATATGGTTAAAAAAAGCCTCTACTAGTTATATTCAGTGGAGTTAAAAAGATTAAGTCCAATTTTTTGGAATTAAAAAAAAATCCTGCTAACTGAGTTGCATAAAAAGGAAGTTTATTTAACGTTTACTTTTTGTTTAGCCCTTAGCAAAAGGGCTCTATTCAGAATAAAGAAGTGGAATGAAGTTTTGGAAACTACTAATTGAGTGGGATTTGCTATGCATCTTCTGAGGGAATAAAAACATGTATCTTACTGTTCGTATACATTTTCTTATAGAAGAAATTAGAAGGAAAAATAATGTTTTGCTCTTAAGGCTTACTTACAGTGGCCTTCTCCAAATGCTGTGTTAACATATGGGATTCCTAAAAAACGTGACCTTCCCCTTTCTGGCTATGAATTCTAGGAGATGGGCATGTGAACGATACCAGGCTAAAGACGACCAGGCCAAAGAATTATTTTTAATTTTAATTAAATTGAAAGCAGGATTTTCTGACTGCAAGAATATCTTTTCTTTTCTTTTTTTTAATAGCAGAGTCAGGGTCAGGTTGTTCTAAAGCTACGGATCTAACAGCAACCCACATAGCTGTAGGATAGTACAGAAACCAAATCAAACATTTACATCCATACTAGTGTGAAAAGAAGAACTCGACCAGAGGGCAATTGCTAAACAAATTCAATCATTTAAAAACACTGAGTCTGTAAAGTGAAGATTTGTTGCAAGTGCCATGTAATTTTTGTTAAGTAATTTCCCCCCCCACAATCATTTTCTTCCAGATGTGTGAATACAAAATATATTATAAAACTACTTCACAATAATGAGGTGGGGACATGGAATAACATATTTACAGTATTGTAATATTATCCCCAAATAATGCTTTAGTTGTAAGCATAAATGAACGAAAGTCCATATTTATAAGATAACAATATGAGGTATAGAAGTTGTCTATCTACTGAGGAAAGAGGACTGCAGAATTTCCCCCCTCCCAAATTCTATGTTAAAATTCCAGCACTCACTTTTTTGTTAATGTAATATGGGTCCAAGTCCTCCAATGGCTCGGACACCATCCCCGGAGGTATGTCTCCATATATAAAGGGCAGGGATTTGCCTGCTTCCAAATCGCTATTCGGTTTTGGTCCATTTTCATCATCATCGATGTCTTTCCGCTCTTGCTTGGACTTCTTCGCCTTTTCCTCGGCAATGCGTTGTTCAATAGCTGCCAGTGATTCTTTCGTAAAAAAGCGGAAGCTGTCAGGTCCTGGTGGTACCAGCACTGACTGTGCCATCTTTTCATCCTGCAGCTCTTAATTACAGTTGTGCCCCATGCATAAAAAAATGCTAGGATGCAGAAAAACATAAAAGAAAAAAATGAATGTTATGCTCTCTGGATCAACACTGAAATGCTTGCTTATTATTTTCTTCAGGGATGGTAGGTTACAAATGGGAGAGTAAGGCTTTCTTGTCAATTTATTTATTGATTTTCGTAGCTACCAGTTTTCCTCCTCTTTTTTATTGCTTTTAAACACCTAAGACAGGGGTGTCAAACTCAAGGCCTGGGGGTGGGGGGGGAGTGCTTAAATCTGGCCTCTAGGGCTGCCCTAGAAACAGCAAAGGACTGGCCCACTGTGTCTCTGCCAACAAAAACAGAGCTTGGGAGGTCAACGTGTGGCTCTCCCAGGCTCCGTTTTCAACCGCAATGGCTTCCTGCTACCCTCTTCTACCAAAACAGAGCTCTGTTTTCACTGGCAGAAGGCAGCAGAAGGCCATCGCGGATGAAAACAAAGCTCGGGAGCCCATTTTTCACTGGCAGAGCTATCAGGCCACCACAGACGCGCCCAACGCGAGTGACATCAAACTGGCCACGCCCATCCTGGCCACTCCCAGCTCGGCCTCCCAAGGTCAAACACAACCCTGATGAGGCCCTACATAAAATCAAGTTTGACACCCCTGACCTAAGAGAATGGAAATCAAATCCATTCTTAGGAAAATCAGCTTTCTTATGAACAGCAATGCATTGGCAGTCATGTAAAGAATGTTCTGCAGTGAGCACATTATTTTCCTATTTTTTAAAATAATAGTGTACAGCAGCTTTGTTTGCAATCCGCAGCACAAGTGAACAACCATATTTTAGTTTACAGTGTTGTGAAAATACAGCCAGGGTACTTTATTAAGATACTTCTAAATGCCAACATTTCTGTCTGTCTGACTTCAATATCAAATGTTGATGTATTTGATGAGTAGAACATGACAAGCATAGGCATATTTATATATCTGTAACTGCCAGAGAACAGCCAGCCAATAACTGATTACAATAATTCCAGGTTATTAAATGAACACCCCACTTTAAGCCTTCTAGCCCAAGTCAAATCATATTTTCTTTACCCTTATCATAATAAATTTCTCGTATTCCTTGGTTTATACAGCCACCTCCCTGTGGCAAATCTCTATCATCTTCAACGTTTCTAATGCTGATATACCAGCAATTCTGCATATTCCTTTGCTAACCACCATGCTACCATGACCAGATCCTAGAAGGTGGGAAATGGGGTGGATAAAAATCTCTCCAGTTAGAACTCAGATAATCCTTACAGAGGTAAAGCGGTAATACCATGGAATTTTGCAATGGGTGTAATTTTTCCATGGTTAGAATAACACTATCGCGGGAGTTGCTCAACAATTTTGATACCAAATTGTAAGATCAATCTTGCATGGGAATTGACATTGTGCCCTTATCTAGATCTCAACTAATGTCAGGGCACTACCATGGATAACTTATTGCCTAATTTCAGTCAGTGAAAGTTAGAGTAAAAGGCAATATGTAGTGGAAAAGCAAAGCATAATAAAATATATGATTAATTTGATATAAGATACCATAAATAGAAAACATTTAAGTTGGATCTAGTAGATCCTCTGATTCCAACTGCTCTGGTTTGCAAACATTTAAGTCAGATTCAGTATTCTGTTTATTCCATTTTCTCCTTTGTATAACATATCACTATATATACATATCTTGTTATGATAAAAATACAATTTATTCAGGTTTAACTAACTGAGTTACAAACGGCTAAAAGTCAGATACAAAACTCTACATTCACTCAATATGCTTAACTGGTTACTAAATTGATTCATATATTCATCTGAACAGTACACTGAGCAACAACCCAACCGAATTAGCTAGATTTGAGTAACATAAGCAATGATTTGACTAAATATATTTATCATGACAAGCAAATGTAGCTGTTATGTCTTCTCTAACATGATCAATGATTAGAAGACAAGATTTCCTTGATGCCATTCCCACTCCCCACCATTATATATGGATTTCTCCCACCACACTAGCATTTTGGGGGAACCTAGATAGGATGGAAGGGAAATCTTCACCCCACATAAGTCTGACTAATTACAGAAAGGAAACCAAATAAAAAAGTCGGGTCATTAACTCAGCCCAGCTGAGATGGGCAATTGGCAACTGGCCAATCAAAACAAAAATCAACTTTATGAGATGCACCAAAAGAAACTTCTGACAGCTGAAGAAGTTTCTTGGATGAGAAGTGAAACATCTTCAAAGAAAACCAGACAGTCCAGTTGCCTCTTGAAAAAAACCATGACCATAGACATCAAAAGAAAGTTTCCACTTACATAACAGTTTAAATACAAAAAAAATTCCAACAACAACCTTAACATACTTCTAATTAAGCTAACTTTCCACCTGGCCAGAGATCATCCCTCTTTCACTGCATACAAAACTCTTCCTGCACCAAACTTGACAGAACCCCTTTCTTTTCTTCTAATAGCTCTCTGGGCATACCAGGCTGGCTTGCTCTTCAAGGGGCCAGCTGTACCCCACCACAGGAAGGAAAAAAACTGCTGTGCAGCATCTCTTTGACATGTCCCTGCAAAGATGCATCAATCCCTACAACTGCCTCTCTGGGGGCTTGAAAGTGCAGAGCAGTCAGAGAATGTGGGGTGCAACCAATCCTGACCCAAACTTTTCTTAGCAAAGTCTTCAATCCAAGACCTCCCAAAATGACCACTTGGAGCTAGCTGATGCTGGAGTACATAGCACTTTATTAACATTGATAAATTATTTTAAAAAGAGCCAAAAACTGGCTGGCCAGCCGGGAGCATAATGATAGGAGCTCCATTTATTATTTCAGATCAGAAATATATTAACTTTTCTACAGTGAAATTGTGTTTTGTTGTAGGACCATGTTTGCAATGCAAGCAACTTAGTTTTATTTCTTACAGCCGTATAGGTACTAGGATATAAAAGGTAGAACCATGCAAATTTACAACCATTTTTCTCATTGGGGTTGGAAAACATTTTTTTTTAAATTTTGCTGTACGATCAAGATTGTAGATTCAATTGTAAAGCATTAGGGGGAAGAGATAAATTTTAGTGCTTCCTAATGGAAGTATTTTGCATGGCTCTCTAAAAGATGTCTCCTGAAGACCATTAAGACCAGTGGTGGGATTCAAATTTTTTTACTACTGGTTCTGTGGGTGTGGCTTGGTGGACGTGGCATGGCTTGGTAGGCATGACAGGGGGAAGGATACTGTAAAAGCTCCATTCCCATCCCACTAACCTGCTTTCCAGCTCCGTTCTCCTGTGCAGGGCAATAAAAGAAGACCCAGCCAATCAGCTGGGACTCGGGAGGCAGAGAATAGATGGGGGTGGGGCCAGTTAGAAGTGGTATTTACTGGTTCCCCGAACTACTCAAAATTTCTGCTACCGGTTCTCCTGAACTGATCAGAACCTGCTGAATACCACCTCTGATTAAGACTATAACATGAGGAACATCTCGCCTTTTTCCTTCGAGCTCATCATCCAGCAAATGTTCAATAATGGCAGCATTTACAACCCAGAAATTCTGGATATCACCGAGGAAACTTTGCACAAGCACTTTCTGGAAGGCGTTCATAACATAGCCAGCGCTTGTCTGCAGACCGGCTACCCTACTGTGGCCTCCCTCCACCATTCCTTCATCAATGGATACAAGCGAGTCCTGGCTGTGGCCGTGGAGACAAACTCCTTTTTCCCATTAGATGAAAAGGTGAAGGCCTTCCTGGTTGATCTGTCAGCTTTTGCTGCTGCTGCTCCGGCAGTGACCGAAGCAGCTGCTCCTGCTGCAGCAGTGCCGGCCAAAGAAGAAGTCAAGGAAAAATCCAAAGAGTTTGATGAAGACATGGGCTTTGGGCTTTTTGACTAGCCACCTGTCTTAGGCTGAGTAGAGTGAAATTCAAAAGAAATAAATAAAAAGTATACATCTTTACCACACACACACACGACTATAACATGAATAGTTAGGCATTCTATTTTTTCCAAGATCACAGATGATATGCCTCTGAATTCCAGAAGATGAGAAACATGAACATACTTTGGGGGTTTTCTAGAGCAGGGGTCTCCAACCTTGGCAGCTTTGCTGGCTGGGGAATTCTGGGAGTTGAAGTCTGCCAGTTTAAATTTGCCACAGTCGGAGACCCTGTTCTAGAGAAATGAGAATGACACTTTGGAATAATCCAGTACTGGATTATTCACCCAGTGAATAATCCACCCAGTGAATAATCCACCACTGTTGTGTTCTTTTGTTTATTTCCTGTTATATATATATATGCTATTTTCCAGATGCTGCTATTTTTTTCATCTCTACTTCTGGTACATGCTAATTAAGTGGGCTTTTGGACCAGTAAGTTATTATGAAGCAGAGAAATGTACGTTACCAAATTGGATGCGGCCTGTTTTGTACATATAGCAACGGGTAAATAGCTTTTTAAAAAGTAAATGGCAAGTTCAGAAGGATTTACAGACCTCGGGAGAGGAAGATTTTAATACTTTGCATCCTGCTAGGTTTCTGATCAAGATTGAAGGCACTACACCCTGCTATTGGAATTGAGGGCAGAGAGCATGTGTATCCTCAGATGCATGCCTTCTTTTCTGAATACAAATAAAGGGTCTGGCCAAAAATATTGATTTGTAATAGATCACACAACAAGGGATAAATACCACTATGTCAAGGTGGCAGACTAGATTGGTCCCCTTTGCTTGAAATTTATATATTCAAAAAACATTCACACTATTAGTACTGATATAAATGGCATACTTCCCAGTTCAGGGGTTCCAGAATTTTTAAAAAGTGCAGAAACAAAACGTTGATAGCTGAACAAGTAGATTTGTAGCATGTTCCCCATTCAATCCTTCGCATCTTCACTGGGATCTAGGAAAAAATCTACTTGAGACCTGGAGAAAGAATGCTAGATAGATCACCTTAAAATAAATAGATCAGTT